TTATTTATTTAAACAAGTTCCCCAACAATTTACTCGTTGGGATGGACTTTTAAAGCGCATCTCGAGCTTGTCGCGCTCGATCTCTGCCTCTCCGATGTTCCCCAAGTAATTTCCTGCATTTGGTCTGATTTCGAAGCAGAATAGTTTTCGAAAGTTCAACATGATATTAACCAGGATAAATTTTCAGTCTCGGAGAATTAATTCTTCGCTACGTCCTAGGACAATAATTTCGTGGAAATTTTCTTCAGTTTGCCATTTCGCTCGATATCTCGCGTCTGTCACGAACGATTTGAAGAAAGGCCAGGAATCAAATGAAACGCCGCTTTTTTGGTGTCAAAATTAAAATCATCCCTCGATATCGATTTTGTAATCCCCTATTAATTAATTATCGTTAAAGCGTAAGCTGCGGTGAATGTATGCATTGAAAATCAACCCCTGATCAGCAATTATGCTCAATAATTCGTGAATAAATATAATTATGGCACATTTTAGCGTTAAAATTAAATAGATTTAATTCTCAAGTATTTTTTCATTTGAAATATTTATTATATTGTAATAAATATTTATTCACATTTAAATAGAAATATTAAATAATTAAATAAAAATTCTTTGTTTTATTTGCAATATTCATATATTTGAAATTTTTATGTCTCTTAGAAGACACATTTTAGTGTAAAGTTAAATAAATTGAATAGAAATTTTCAAATATTTTTCATTTGAAATATTTATACGTTTTAAAATATTTCTTAACGAATTTAAATAAAAATTAAGTTTAAATATAGTAAACAAAAATTCAATATTTTTTTTATTTAGAACATTTATGATGTTTGTGAGAAAATTCTTTAAAATTCTATTTCTTAAATTTTATTTGTATATTTTATTTGTAAAGTTAAATAGATTGAACAAGAAAGATTTTATCTGTAGTTTTCATTTGGAATATTTAGAATATTTCTCAAAAAATAATTTGAAAGTAACTTTAAAATATTAATATGTAGTATTATAAGATTTATGTATCAATGTGTAAAAAAAATCGCATTATCATTTTCTATCATGATATAGTGCGAGAATAACTGACTATCCTATCTATATGTAAAATACATATTTCCTCATATCTGTCTTCGCTACATGCAAATAATAAATGCATACATTTATTTAACTACTATATACTATATATTAATGCTATATGTTATGCTCATGCTTTAATCCCAACATATCTTTCTAAACATATCGCTCCACAATTAGAGACGTAGAAAAAGTTATTTTTGTGTAATTAAGATCGAAAGAGAATTGTATGCGATGTAGCGTAATCGAAGAAACTTCTAATATATTCTAATATATAGGTTAATTTTCATAATTTTCTGACCATCCACGCTCTGTCTCTACTTTGACGTTCTTCTGAAAAAAAGACAATATCAGAGTAGTGAATTTCTGAATTTCGTTAGAATTAAAATGAACTGAATCGCAAGAAATATTTGCAAAACAAAATTAGTGGCATACAGAGAACATGATTATGTTGCATGTAGCGAGAAATAATTTTTATTGTACAAAGTTTTACGAGGATATATTATTTATAGAAGTTGTTTTGCAATATGAATGGCAAAGAAATACATATTACACGCAATGATAATATAAAGTGTGAAGAAATCCAATGTCTAAGCTCTTCCACAAAATCTAGTTAATCAATCTTTTTAATCGGATATTTTTATTCTTTAAACAATAATTTTTCTGTTCAGAATGTTTAGAGAAGAAATTTAAAAGTATCACTAGAATTCATTTAAAGTTAATGTACTTTTATTGTAAAACTTTTATTGTAAAACAATTTTTGTATCATACGTTAAAAACGAGTAATTACCATTTTATTTTTTCATTTATAATATTATTACTATAATAATAATGAATAAAAATAATATTAGTATAATAATAATGAATAAAAAATATATGTATCTCAAAAAATACCACTACATTCAAAAGAAAGAAAAACATCATGAAAAGAACTTTTTATATTTTTTTCTTATTGATATTAATTTTTTGTCAAAAGACATATCTAATTTATATAATCATAAATATAAATATATATTTTACTTCTATAAAATTGATTTGAATATTATTTTTCAGCTTTTAAATTTTTATTTTATAAATATATTCACTTTTATCTCTTTCATTAACTTCGTTTTTCAAAAATTATAATATTCTATATTATCAAATATGTCTAAAATTATAATTCTAAGAACACACATGAAATTAGTTTTCCAAAAGTATAATCAATAATCACAAAAGTTTGAAAGATGTCGATATGATATAAAGTTATGATAACAAATTTTGTCATAACACATTCTTTATCATTCATTGCATTCAATATTCACGTAAAAATTTTCTTGTAAGATACTTGGATATCCAAGTTAGCCTATAATGGATACACGCAAACTTGGATACTTTCGATATCTCTAATGTCTGATCCGTGTCAGGACTATTTTACTGACGATTATTTGTACATCACTGCCAACTCCGAACAATCTTTGAAAGCTGATGCTTCGAAACGCTTTTCCAATTGTAACAATAGACAATACGAACGAAAGAACTGATTTCTGACAGAAATAAACACGAAGAAGAAATTGTACAGTTAGATTCCTTAAGAACCGTTATGTACACATTATCGCAGTCAATTCATCTTGTTTTTCGAAACATTTAGTTGGTTTGTAATTCTCGATTATCTTGAAATATGATAGTGAATACGCATTTCTGTGGCCGAAAATTGTACAGTTAGTTTCATTAGATTGTTACCTGTCGAATATCTCTCCTGTTTTTCCACGAGAAAATACGACGAAGGGAAAAGAAATCTGTTATTTTGTGACGTGAATGATGCAAAAGTCTCGAGTGAATTTTTAGCTGAAATTGTATAATAGCTTGTATAAAGTATCTCGTTGATTAATATATAGATTCTTGTTTATTTTTTATTCAATCGTTATTTTGAAAATTATTGGTAAAAGAAAGAGGAATACATATAATTTATTCAATAATTATCCAATTTGAAAATCTCGAAAATCGCATATTATTAATGTAATTTTTAACAAATATTTGATACTAGAATTATCAAATATGACAAGATAACGATCTTCAGATTCCTTCATTTGATTAAAATTAATTTAAAATAGAAATATAGTCATTTATAAAATACTATAATTCTAATGTTAAATATAGATATAATACATCTTACTATATACATATACGCAACTATCAAAGGATCTCTAATATCTTAGAATGAAAACTCGAAATAGATCGGAAAAATTCGAAAAAATTCAGACGAGATTTTCGTATTGTGATTCAAAAGACTTTAATTAATTTGAAAGCGCTTAGGTATTAAAGCTGATCGTTTCCGATTATTGCCAAGTTCATTCGAAAACCATATAGGCTTATATTCTGAATCTCAAAATTCTGAGTAATATATGATTATATATGATTATAGAGATCTCGATTCTTCGATTTCTAATCTTGCCGAATTCTTTCGATCGATTCCGAAATTCGAATTTTCAAATCATGGAATAATTTTGTCTTTTTCTATTAATTTATATAGTTATTGAATCAATATTAAAACGCCTTTGAATTAATTTATGCATTATATTATCAAATTAAAGTCTGATTTTTAAATTTTTAAAAGATTAAAATCTCTTTTAACATCAGGGATTTCAAAAAAGATTCTTGCGAATTGAAAATTAAAACACTTTAAATATTAAAAAATTATCCTATATTTATTGTTTATTTATCTATTATTTTCTAATATTAAATGGTCGAATAATTTTTGGATAGACCTTAAATGTTTTATGATATTATGAATCAACATGGCTTCCTTGTATCAAAATTTCTATATTTTTATAATAAATTTAACGATATATTGGTAGAATGTATTTTAAGGAAGGAAACGCATTATTTACGAAAGAAAGTGTATTTTAAAGAAATTAATGTAAATCTTCGATGAAGAAGTATTTTTCGTGTTTATTCGAACAGTTTCTTTTCCTTAAAGTACACGCTACAGATCTTTCATTTCTGTTTAAATATTGCTCGAGTTCTGCCCAAACCTTTTTCAGTTTGCAAGTTTTTTTCTTTTTTCAAAGATACTTAAACTTTTATATATACATATATACTTTTATATATATGGAACAAATGGATAAATGAACTTTGTTTCTCATATCAGATAATTATATTTCTTATAATGTATAAAATATATAATAGAATTATGTGACAATTGTGGATGACGAATGTAGCAGATATGATAACATTTTTTGAAGACTAGAAAAAAAAATTAATTAAATTTCTGTAATCCAGTATACAAACGTGTAATTAAATTTTGGCTTGCAACATAAAGTCATTGATAATTTGTTGATATCGCTAATAATTATTTTGCCATTTCCTCTGACCGAAAATTAATGCGAACATTTTATTGGCTGATGAATTTGTCACAAGCGTCATATAGATTCGTTATAAATGATATATCGATAAACAATTTTTAAATTATTAAAATTTTCCGATTAATCGTTCCATCATTTTCTCGATTGAAGAGAAACGATACGATATTTATTAGCGTAACGATTAAGTTGAATGCAAAATACGATAATTAAAGTTTAATTATTATATTATATATATAAGTGTTCGTTACTTTATTCCGTAACATTTGCTTCGTGAATATGATATTCAGTTGAATACTTACAATTAATTTATATAGAGATTGTACAATCGACACCTTCTTGGTTGTTAGTGAAAGAGAAAAAATATCGAGAGAGATAATTGTTGTAAATGAAACGCAAGCTGTATGGTTTCCTATTAGTCTGACAGTGCAATATATATTAGGTGTATGATAATTTTATATATTTGTTCGTGTAATAACAATCGTACATCCAAGAAGGAAGTTGACAAATATCATTGACGAACGTAGAATTGTATAAAAGGTCGGATGATGCAATGGAATCCTGTAAATATCTGTGAACATATTGTAGTCAATATCAGGAGAAAAATAAAGATAGAGCTTCGTGTGGTATGTGAAGCTGTACGATAAATATTATTTCGATATCTTTGTTTATTGTCGCTTTATTCTACCTGTTTGTAATATACTCTAAATTTTGATTTCTTAAAAATTTGATATTTACCTATATTTATTCGGTTTTCAATTTCGATTGATATTATAAAAAATGAATATTTCTTTATTTATTTATTATTTTAACTTTTATAAAATGAAAAACATGTTTTCTTTGGTATTCAATATCATTTGATTTGGTTGATAATATATATAATCTAATATATAAGTATATATTATAATAGTTTAAATAGTTAGAATAAAGTTTATATAGTTAGAAGAAAAAATAAGTATGTCTTTATTTATTCTATTAGTTTTTATAAAAATAAATTTCACTTTTATAATATTCAATACAAATAAATTTTTATTTTTCTGGAAATATAAATAATTTCATGAAAAATGATTATTTAAATTATTAAATTATTAAATATTTCGTTACTAATTTTTTCGTTGAATTTTTAATACATCCAATATCAAACGAATTTTTATTTCTTTATTATGATAACTCTTTTATTTTTAAACACTTAAAGAAATGAAACAAATATTCATTTATTTCATTAACAAAACTAAAATTTTATTCAACAGCTAATCAACTAATCATTTCTGCAAATGAAAAAATTGGATGAAGCAAGACACAAGGTACGTATAAACATACGTATAAACATGTTATAAATGCTAAATTTATTCCACAGAAATATTTATTTGAGAAGGGAAACATATTTTTTTACAAGTTCAATTTCCACTTTTATCATATAATATAATTTTTCTTTAAAATATAATAATAATAATAAATAATTTTTATATATCTCTTCGGAATTTTACATTCTATTTGATATACATGGACCATCGATCGATACAGTCCAACTATTTGATATCGGATACACATGTCAAATACGTGCTCGTAAAAACGAAGCAAAAAAAGAGCGCATCTTTCAAGGTGAGGAAAATTTCGCGGATGTTTGCTAAAAACGGACCACAGATGTAATAGATATCGTAACTCATGGAAATATTCAAACTATATTATAGAAAAATTTATTTAACCCAAAAATTTTGATTTTAATAGAAATTGTAGAATATATTAATGGATTAAATGTAAAGCAATTTTTTTATCAATGAAAGATCTCTTTGAGAAGATAGCCAAAATTTTAACATTTTGTGAAGTTTTACAACAAAATAATAGAAAATAGAGATAATGATAAAAATGATTAATTGAATTATAAAAATATAAAAATGCTATAAATTCGAGAAATAATTGTTTTAAAGAATATATTTTTTTCTAAAAAAAAAGATAAAAAAATATAATAAACATAATTATTTGAAATATTTTTATTATAGGTTTGTGTCAATTACATTGATAGATTAAATATTTTTTAAAAATATATTTATAATATAAAAATTCCTTAACGATAATCTGTTAAAACAACTCTCCGTTATAACTCTCTCTCTCTCTGGTTATAAAGTTTAAAATTATTGAATCTTCAAATTTTCTCCGTGCCCTTCGTACAAATCAAACAGTTCTTATCCAAGAAATTTTCCTAGAAATCAGCAAAACTTCACATCCATAACCTTGTCAACATTTTTGCTGACTTAAAAAAAAAAAATCTAGAAGAATTTTGTGTAACTTAAAAATCTGAGTGAAATCTGAGATTTTAAACAAGATAAAGAATTATAACAATTATTATACAAAAAAAAATATTAAATTGATTAATATATATATAGAAAGAAATAATATAAAAGAAAGAATTTGTAAACTTAAAAAAATAAAGAATTACGTGATTATTATACCAAAATGAAAAAACAGTTATAGATATTTCATTATTTCTCAACTCATATTACATAGTGTAATTAAATTTCTCTGAATAAAACATTTTAAAATATTTTAAATTGAATATATGAGAGTCACATGAGAACTGAATATCTATTCTTCATCATTAATACTTTTCGATACTCCATTGTTTTAAACTTTCAATCTCTTAAGCATCGTCTAGACTACGTAACATAACACGTTTTAAAGTTATGAAACTTTTTAAAAGAGAAAATATTATATAATGTACTTAATGTAATGTAACAATGTACATATCATCTATTTAAAATTAATATATAATATAGAGATAAAGAAGATATTATAATATATTATTAGAAAATTATAAAATTTACAAAAGAAAATAAAATCAACAATTTTAAAATTATTTTTACTAACAAATAAGTTTTGAAATATAATCAATATTAAATCTAAAATTATACTATAATCTGTTAAAAATAAAATATACTATAGTCAAATTTGCTTATTATGATCACTTTGGTAATATTTTATAAAAATAATCGGCTGATTAAATTATAAAAAGAAAAAAATGTTTATTATTGAAAATTTTTTCAAATAATTATGACACTTGTACAATTTAATAAACTTTAATAATAACAATTATATATTTATAGAGAGAAATTTCTTATAATGTTTTTGAAAATAAAAAAATTTATTTAAAAAATTATTAAAAAAAATTTATCAAATATTTTTTATTTTACTCCTGAATATTTTTCATATAATTTGCTTATATTTTTATAATATAGATTATACAAATAAATATTATAATATATTACATATTTCTTTTCTAATATTAATTTTAATTATATGATAATTAATGTTATAATTTAATCATATTCCGAATAAAATTGTTACGATATAATATTGAAAAATTAAAAAATTCTGAATAGCTTATGTATAGAAAAAGGGAGAGATGCTATTTAAATATGATATTGAAACAATAATATTACATAACATCTTCTAGAGCAATTTTTTCTTAACTTCAATTTTTTTAAAGAGAAAATTTTTATGACATATTTGTTATATATTAATTGAATATTTGAATTTGTTTTAACTGTACAATCTAGTTATAAATTTCAAAAAATCTATCTTTAATACGAATTTATTGAGAATTCTTATCGTTTATCTCTAAATATAATTTCATATAAATATAAAATTTTAAATATAATAGATAAATAGATGAATCATTTCTAATTTTATATAGAATGTTTTGGATTAATTATGATAATAATAGCTAATTGATAACATTATCCATAATTATAATAATCAATAATTAATTATAATATGATATTATAATAATTAATAATTATGTTGTTAATAATCAAATGAAACGTTATTATATTTATTTATATGCAATATGATTTGTTATTAAATATAATATAAAAATTAAATTTTTTAAAATTTTTTAGAAAAATTATAGATATATTATAAATATAATTGACACTAATAAGAAATTCATAATAACTTTTTTTTTTACGAAATATGTTTAACTTGCCTTCTTTCCAATAAATTTATAAATAATTATAATTGTATTATAATTATACAACTACAATATATTTGTATATATATGTATATATATGTTATATATGTATATATTGTATATTGTATATAATTATACAATATATATTTTTTAATTCTTGTCATTCATTGACATATTCATTATAATCACTTTGGTAATATTTTATAAAAATAATCGGCTGATTAAATTATAATATATATATATATATATATATGTATATTTCAATTTTTTACTATATATATAATTAAAGTATTTTCATGAAATATAGAATCATAAAGAACAGGTTCTATATCTTCTGTTTATACAAGTTCTAGATCTTTCTGTCAAAATGTATCAATGTGTATTATAAAATAAAATTAAAATGTCATGCAAAAAAAGGTTCCAAGTGATTTATTAAAATGTTATAATAAAAATATAATATAAAAATAAACGATACATGATAATATTTATCTTATAATTCGAGAAAGAACAAAATCAGATTAATATATAAGACTTTTTATTTACGCATTTTTAAAAAGAAAGTTTATAACATATAAATCAATAAATTAATTGTAAGAAATTAGAAAATGATTTATTATTTCACGCGTTCCTTATGTGGTAAATTTTATAAACTTCAAATTAAAATATCTTCTAAATTATTTTTCAACATACGCTTCAACATACAATAATTTAGTAAGAAATTATTATAGTAAGAAATACTCTTTTCGTAAGAAATAACGAATTGCAATAAAAATTGCATTTAATGCTTGCATTTAAAAGATTAAAATTAATTTTCATATGATCCTTACGTGTAAAACTATAGAAAAACTATTAATACTATATGATATACGTATCATCTTATACCAAACAATTTTTCTAAGAATATTTTTTCCATAACATTCTTTCCATAAATTTTACATTATATGTATTTAAAAAAAATAATAATAATAATAATAAAATATGAAATAAATGTTGAGGTATATATCAAACGAATCAAATAAGACTTTTTTTGTGAAGGAATCGATTCCGGTGAAAAAAAGTGAAACAAAAATACCCGCAGTTCAATATGCAAAGGAAGGAAAGCTCGATCAAAAACCGAACGTTATTTAATGGCCTTGTCGAGGAATTCCCGAGGTGGAACAAGCGGTTAAGGATTACGCAGAAAATGAAAATGGCGTAAGAAGATGCATAAGGCGGAAAAGGAAAATTTCTTTCAATATTATTTTAAACTTCTCCGAAATACGGACGAAGGATATTCTCTCACGCACGTGCAGCGTAGGGTAACAGTCAAACACTTGGCACCAGCTGGCGCCTGGTATGTGACATGAATATTTGTTTCTAATAAGATATGCCGAGTCGGAGCTGCTATTTGACGTACCTTACGTTACAACTATTAACTAAAAAAAAGAAAAAAAAGGAGAAAAAAAAAGAAAGAAAGAAGGAAAAGAAAGAAAAAAATTTTCACTTTAAAAAACTTCTTTCCTCGAATTTTGTCTTTTTATTGATATTGAAATTCTATTACAATGTTTATATTTGTGCTCATTAGGTATCATTTGTGTGAATAAATAAATTGTAAAATGTGAATGTAAAGTGATAAATAAATGATAAATGATATAAATGATATAAATGAATTCATATGTAATTATTTTTGATAAATTTCAATTTTAAAATGTAATTTATTGTATATTGAAAATAAATTATAAAATTATATATGAAAATATAAATGGTGATACAATTGACACAACCGTGTAAAAGGTGATTTTACATGAAAAAATAAATCGAAAAAAAATATATAATAAAATTTAATGTGGAATAATATAAAATATGGAATAAAACATTTTTTTATTTAAGGCTTTGTTTTCGAATAAATCAAATTCAACAAATTTTCAATATAAAATAAATAATAATAAAATTGGCTATTTTTCGATTAAATACAAATAATTTATTGTTAATTGTAAAAAGTAATTTTATATGTAAAAATAATATGTAAAAAACATATATAATATATGTTTTTTCATTTCTATTCATTTATATTTTTTCATATAAAAATTAATTTTTTAAAAATAATTTTTTAAAAAAATTGAATTTAAAAATTCACAAATTAAACCTTCCTTGTTTGTATATGATTAATATTCATTTTCATATTTAAGCGATAAAATTTTTTACATTTTTATTTTTTGCTTACTTTCATATGTAAACTATCTATCAATAATAAAGCATTAAATGAAAAAATTTTATTCTATATTTCATTCTATATGAATCACTTTCTTCTTTGTTTTACTTTTATAAGACTTATCCAAAAAAAAAAAAAAAAAAGAAAGAAATAAAATAAAAATATCAAAAAATCACACATAATTTACAAATGACTATAATAACATGATAATCTTTTCAAAATACTTATTATTTTAAAAATCATTTAAACGAGGAATTAACTTAAAGATGTCTTTTTAATTTTTAAGAAATTACTAACATCTATAATAAGCATTATCTTCTTCTTTGGATGAAAACATCAAAGAATCTTCTTTAGTAACGCATCGCATCAGAGTCTCAATATTCCACAAATAAAATTGCGGAACCTTTGTAACAGATGCCCCGACAGAATGGATCACGAATCCTTTATAGAAACGTGTGGCGCCGCATTAACCATAGAATGGATCACGTCTGCTCGCGCTCGTAAACCAATGCATGCTGGACTTAGTTTAGTTGCTCGTGAAACTTTCACATCGGACAACTTGCCATCATGGGTCACATTTTTTACCCTTTTCCTTTTTTTCCTTCTTTTTTTTCCCTTCTTTTATGTTATTTTCTTTATGACGAACATCCGAATGGTCACACGTAAGACGAACTGTCACGCTTGATGTATTTAAGAGTGGGTCTACATTTTTTATCTTATCACATGTTCAATGTCATGCTGTTGGGCATCAGTGTATTTAGAATCATTGCGTCTTAATAAAACTAACAAATTAGGCTATGGTAGTAATTTACAATCTTGGTTTTGAAACACGATTACACAGGAATTATTAATAATAAAAATTCTTATATAAAAATATTATTTATTTATTTGATAAGTTTTTCGTTATAAAATAACATCTAAATTATTAATAAAAAATGAGAAGCGAAGTCTTATAACGCAATTTTAAAATGTTTATTGAATCATAATTAAATAATAAAATTATAATAATAAAGTGATATAATAAAGTAAAATGAAACAAAAATAATCTTATTTAAGTATAAAAAAGCTAAAAGTAATTAAAAATTATAAAATTTTTTACTGAATTAAAAAATTAAACATATAAATTATTTTTTTATTATATTTTTTAAAACATGCTTGAATTTGCGAACAATTGCAGTAATTTTTTTATTTGTTAACAAAGAAAAAAATAATATTCTTTATCGATTTTTTTTAATTCTGAAAAAAATATTTATTTTTAAAATTAAAATAATTAAACAGATAGGAATTTTATGATTTTTATTCCTATTAAATTACATTTTTTAAATTAAAATAAAGAAATAATTATCTAAATAAACATAAGAAATCTATTTATTGTCATAAAAATTCAATCAAGTATATTTTTTTTTTCATAATTTAATTTATAATTATAATTTCGATTTTATCAAAGTAATACTGAAATGTACTAAAATTTTTAAAACTTATGCTTATTCTAAGATTTGAAGTCTATTAAAAATCAAATACTTTGTATTTTTCGTATATTCTTAAAATGTATTTTCAATTTTGATAAAATTACAAATTATTATAATGCATCATATCATTGGATAATATTCAATAATAAATATGAATTTATCTTTAAATGGCATCAAGATTCAAACGATTGTCCATTTTCTATTTTTATTGGAATCACCATAGTTACGTGTATAAATATTCTTTTCTCATTCTACGACTTTGATTAAATCGTCAAGAATCTGCGTGATTCCAGGGAACTCGATAATTGGCTGAAGTGTAGGTTCCTTGGTAAAAGCTATTCACAAAGGTTTCTTGTTACGTAAGATTTTATTCGATTTCCTTTAAGGTTTCTTATAGGAATTACAGGAAAAATGTGATATTTGTTTTTTTCCTATTGATCAAATAGTAGATGAAGTAATCAAGTGTTATAAAATAATGAACTAGCTTGATTTTTTATTCAAATACAAACTTATTCTTACTAATGAAGTAAGATACTAATTATTTTGCAATTAATCAATAAGTAATTTTATATTTATTTTTATAACTAGTTCTTAAACTTTTTTCAAATTTCTTTTTGTTTTTCCAATTCGTAGATATTTTTCAAATTAATTTTTATTTCTATAAATTTTTTTTTTATCATCTGATTATATTTTTAATTCTCTTTTTTATTTATTTCATATTATTTGAAATTCTTAATATCTTTTTTTTGATTTTAAATTTGAATATTTTTATCAATTTTATTGAAATTTATGTAAAAAATTTTAGAGAAGAAAAAATAAATTATTACATAGTGAAAAAAATTGGCAAAAATATTTAATTTTTGATTTATTATATAAATAAATTTTTAAAAGGTAATTTTTTATTAATAGATAAAATAGATAATATCATGTTAAGATATAAAAATTCGGATAAAATAACAATAATGAAAGAATTTAAATTAATATACTTTAGATTAGTTTAGTTTTGTCTTTTTTTGTATTTATTTTATTTATATCACAATATTTTTCGTTTTAAAAAAATTTTTACATAAGTTGTTAAATAAGTTTTGTTTTGACAATATTTATTTTTGACAATATCAGCCATTCTCTTTTAACATAAATAATTCTTTTTCTGATGCACAATTAAAAAAAATAAATTTCTTGAATTATCTATAATTCATAGATATTTCAAAAAATATGATTTCAATTTTTTTTTTATTCTTGCATTTTTAATATAAATATTAATTGATACGAAATAAATAATTGATAATCGATAAAAAGAATTTATATTAAATATTTCTTCGAAAACTATAAATTTTTTTAATGAAAATTTTTCTATTATAATTTTATTAATTTTTCGTTAGTCAGAAATCTCTATAATTATTATTAGATTTTAAGATTTCAAGTTGATTTTCAAAATTAAGAATGCATTATACACTTCCATTTTCAACAGATTTGTGTGATATGTATCTCATAGAAACTAGTCAAAAAACATTAATTGGCTATTAGTACCGTATCTACATTCACAATACTCCAAACACACTTTATAAATTAGAACATTTAATATTAATGAAGAATTAGATTATACTACTTAACAATCTGAAATTATTTATAAACTAATTGTATCTAAACAAAATATTTCAATATTTCACAGTATATTTGTATGACTATTTTTATGAGAATTCAATTTATTAAAATCTAACTTCACAATAACATAACATACATTTCTGTTCGACATAATTTTTTATATTGAATTTTATTTTTTAAAATCATAATTAAGAAAAAAAATTAGAAAAATGTGCTTTATTTTATTTTTATTATTATTTCTTCTTCTTAAAATTGATAATGTTATAAAATTCTAAAAATTTGAATTAAGGACTTTGCATCAAGAAAGACTAAATCCATTTTTGATAGTTTTTGGATTATTATATGTAATATATTTAGAATTATTACATAATCTAATAATCTAATACATCTAAATGATCAATCTGAATTATTATAGTTTGATATAAACTGATATAAAAAAATCTAGATATTGATAAAAAAACAAATGATTCATTATAGATTTTGAATTGTTTTATATAATAAGAATCTGGAATTTTATATGCATAATTTCTCTTGTATAAAAATGATATTTTTAATAAAATAATAATAAATCAATAAAGTAAGTACTTTATTGTTTATTATTAATTAGAAATAATCGCTTTTGTAACATTTTAATGTAAATCAAATACAACTAATAACATCAAAAAAAAATTCGGCAAATTGAAATAAAGTTTATTAATTTTTAATATATATATATATATATATATATTTTCATGTTAAATTAAAATAATAATTTTAAAAATAACTTTTTTTAATTTTTTTATAGTTATTAGAAATGAATCTATTTTTTTCTTTCTTTCTCTCTTGTAAGAGATTCAATTATTTATTATGTAAAAGTAAAATGTAGTTATGGAAATATTTTATTTATTTTAGAAATATACTGAAACATAATTATACAATCACAAACATAAATAGAATTTTATTATATTTATGTTATATAAAAAAACTATTACAAAAAACTTTTTTATTTTTATTATTTTGAATTTTTTAAAATTTATATTTACTTTTTATATAATATATAATATATATTTTATACATATTTTTTATTTATTTTATATTAATATAAATATATTATATATTTTTTAATAAATAATATGTAAAATATAT